GCTCCCCTCCAAGGGGCCCTGGCGAGGACAGCCAGGCGTGGGGGCAGGAGACTGCGCTGTTCTCTTCCAGGAGCTGGGTTTTATAGCCTCTGAGTCTTGGTCATTGATGGGATTACATGGTGCCAGGAGGTCAGTTGGTGGGTGTGACCCAGATCCTCCAAATTCCATGGGGAGCTATTATTTATCATATATGTATATATATCATTATTATATCTAGAATACCTTGTTAGATGTGATTTGATATAAAAACAAATGAATGTGACTAAATGCCAATACAATTGTATTTAAGGACAATGGGAAAAATGTATGCAGTTCCAGGAAAATAGATCAACCAGTAGAAGACATGCATAGTGTATACAAGGCCCTGATTTTGAATCCCTAGGTCCACATGAGCTCCTGAGCACCACTGAGCACCCCAACACAACTGGTCATGTCTCTATAAAAAAATCACTTTAAGAAGCAATTTACGTAAGTCAAAAAGACAAAAAGATGAAAGAAAACACAGTTCAAGAAGACAAAACATTTCTAGAATCCACTATCTAAATGATTTTTGGTTTCCATCATTCTAAGTATATTTCCATTGCTTTTATACAAATAGAATAATAGAAAAATAAGCATATAATCTACTTTTTAATTTTAGGGATAGCCAGAAATGCTCAGGGCTTACTCCTAGCTCTGAACACATGAATCATTCCTGGAGGGACTCAAGGGGTCACATGGGGTGCTGGAAGTCTGCCACAAGCAAAGCAAGTGCCCTACTAACTACACTATTTCTCCAGCTCTTGGATCTACTTTTTAAAAGCAAATAAAAAACCCCAAAACACATTGATTAAAAAAGATGTTTTAAAAGTATGAGATTAATACCCAAGAATAGCTGAGATCAGCACCAGGAGGATTACTCCATAGCTTAGAGGCCAGCCGAGCATTCTAGGGGAAAGGGCAGCTCAGATAGAGAAGGGAGCACCAAATAAAGGGTGTTTGGAGGATCCTCCCAGGAGGGGAGATGCGTGTTGAAAGTAGACTATGGACTGAACATGTTTGCCACTCAAAGCCTCTTTTGCAAACCACAGCACCCAAAAGGAGAGAGAGAACACAAGGGATTGCCCTGCCACAGAGGCAGGGGGGGATGGGGGGGGTGGGGGTGGGGGGGATATTATCCATGGTGGTGGAAAATGGGCACTGGTGGAGGGATGGGTATTTGATCATGGTATAATCTAAACCCAAGCACAAAAAATTGTAAATCTACAACTGTACCTCATGGTGTTTCACTAATAAAAAAAAAAGTAAAAAAAAAAAGATGCTTTATTCCCATGTTCATTGAAACATTACAGTGCCCAAGAACATAACCTAAGTGCCTAGCAACAGAAGAGCAGATAAAGAAATTGTGGTCTAGGAATAGGCTGGAGTGATAACACAGTGGTAGGGCGTTTGCCTTACAAGCAGCCAACATGGCCGACCTGAGTTCGATTCCTCCGCCCCTCTCGGAGAACCCGGGAAGCTACGAAGAGTATCTCGCCCACACGGCAGAGCCTGGCAAGTTCCCCGTGACGTACTCGATATGCCAAACACAGTAACAACAAGTCTCATGATGGAGACGTTAGTGGGCCCGCTCGAGCAAATCGATGAACAACGGGAGCACAGTGACAGTGACAGTGGTCTAGGAATACAATGAAATACTACTCAGCTATAAAGAAAGATGAACTTTTGGTCTGGGTTCACACCTAAAGGTTCTTAGGATTTACTTCTGGCTTTGCATTCAGGTATCACTCCTGGAAGAGATTGGGGGATTATGGAGATCAACCCCAGGACTTGTACAAGGCAAGTGCCCTACTTACTATCACTCCGGCCCAAAAGATGAAATCTTGTAATTTATTGCAGCTTGCATGAACTGAAGGGTACCATGCTGAGTCAAGTGAGTCAAATGGAGGACAAATAATAAATGATCACTTTTACACATGGATTATACAAAATATAGTAAGGAAACATGCAACAGCCAAGGGAATATTATTATTTATTTATTTATTTAATTTTTGCTTTTTGGGTCACATCCAGCAATGCACAGGGGTTACTCCTGGCTCTGCGCTCAGGAATTACCCCTGGCGGTGCTCAGGGGACCATATGGGATGCTGGGAATCGAACCTGGGTCAGCCGCGTGCAAGGCAAACGCCCTACCCACTGTGCTATCGCTCCAGCCCCCGCCGAGGGAATATTAAATTGAGTTCACTAAGAGAGAAAAAATACCGAGTTCCAACCTCCGTCGACGGTCAAGAATCAGGAATGCTCTCTCATTTGCCAAGGCATCGAAAATCAGATGGGCTGGACACGTAATGAGATTTGGAGATGACCACTGGACTGAAGCTGTTACCGACTGGATTCCACGGGACGTCAAAAGACCACGTGGCCGCCCACATATGAGATGGTCAGACTTCTTCGTCAAGACCCTGACAAATCGGTTTAAGGCTCTTCGTGTTCCTGGAATGAGCAGACACCATTGGGCTACACTAGCATGCAACAGGGATGAAAGGAGATGTCACTGGTACCCGCTCGAGCAAATCGATGAATAACGGGATGTCAAGTGATCAAGTGATCAAGTGATCACTAAGGGATGTGTGAAAGTGAATTTAGAGTCAGTGTTAGAGGAATGCTCATACTTTTGTGGAATAGCAACTTTGAATTCTTAAGATATTAATATTAACAGTATTATAAATGCAAGTGCCTAAATTTAAAAAAGATTTCAAAGAACATTTTGAATCAAATGACTTGACTAGTGAGCTACAGATTAATTCTTAACCTTATTTTGTTTAAAATTTTATTTTAGGCACCATGCTTTATAAAACCGTTATTGGTATGGATTCGTGCATAAAACATTCTAGCACCACACCAAAGTATCAGCTTCTCTCCATCAGTGCTCCAGTGTCCCAGCTCACCCCCTTCCTATAGTATCTTACTGAAGACCAGTTCTCAGTCTCTGTTGCCTTTGTCCATTTGTTATTCCCCCTACTATGTTTCTTTATATACAGCATATGAAGAGAACATTTTTGTGTCTGTCTTCTCTCCATAAAGATATACAGATGATTTTTCAAGACTAGATGCTAAATTCATTCCAAGAAACATTCCCAGTCAGAAGTCACATAATCAGAAAAAAGCCTGTGACTACTTTAAAGGATTGGTGAAGAAATCTACAATTAGGTCTTCATTTAAAAGAAAATACAGGGGCTGGAGAGATAGCACAGCGGGTAGGGCGTTTGCCTTGCACGCGGCCGACCCGGGTTCGATTCCCAGCATCCCAGATGGTCCCCTGAGCACCGCCAGGAGTAACTCCTGAGTGCAGAGCCAGGAGTAACCCCTGTGCACCGCCAGGTGTGACCCAAAAAGCAAAAAAAGAAAAAGAAAGAAAATACAAAAATTGCACAATACATGTGTTTTTCTTAAAACTGTATATGTATAGTGCTTTATGATTCTGTGATTCTACATTTTTCACTTTCTCAGTTAATGAATAACTATCATTCCCAAGAGCACCATATCTAGATGTCTCAAGGGCCACTCCCTACAATAAGGCGCTGACCATGCACTGTGTTAGATGGAGTTCAAAGAATGCTGAAGATGTGACTCAGGGATTCTTCACAAGCTAATTATGCAGTCTACCCCTTGAATTATCTCCTCCATTCCAACATCATATAAAAGGGCTTCTGGTGAGTGGGAGACAGCTTCAACATACACTGAGGACACTTTTTACATCATTATGTACCTTATCCTGCCTCATTATATTGCATCATATAAGTGGATATACCCAGTTTATGTGACAAATTCTCTACTAAAAAGCTGATGGTTTTTATTTCTGGGGTGAGGTGGGGAATTGAGTGGGAAACTAAGACAGTGCAAGTCGATTGAGTTATGAATCTGGTAAGGATATAAAATGGAATTAAGGGAGGGTGGGAAAAGAGCAAATAGTGGATGAGAGGCTCCTACAATTATCCTGCTAGATTCACTGTATCACTGTCATCCGTTGTTCATTGATTTGCTCGAGCGGGCACCAGTAACGTCTCCCTTCGTCCTAACCCTGAGATTTTAGCAGCCTCTCTTTTCTCGTCCTTCCCAACGGTTCCACACTGGAGGCTCTTTCAGGGTCAGGGGAAATGAGACCCATTATTGCTACTGTTTTTGGCATATCTAATACACCACAGGGAGCTTGCCAGGCTCTGCTGTATCCTGCTAGATTAGATCAGGAAATACAAGTTGCTTTTCTCATCTCTTCCACATTCCAAGATGCTCCTGTCAGCCTGGAAACCTTGACATTTCTAAAAAAACACTGTGTCTTTCCTCCCCTCTGTCTCAATTAATTCCAATCTTCTCCCTCATTTTATCTTGCCCATGGAAAGTCTAACTTTCTTTCAAGGTCTAGAACAAACACTATACCCTGCCCTAATTAGCCCTAGCTGGGAATCATCCCTCCCCGACTTCCCTTTCTAATAGCGATGAGTCATTCCTTCCTTTATTCCTTCCTCAAATTGCTTTTCACCAGAAAAAGCGAGTATAGAACCAGAGAGATATAGAACACGGGGATTAAAGCACTGACCTTGCAGGCGGATGACCCAGTTCAAATGGTCCCCCAGCACCACCCAAGGTGTTACCTACTCCCATCCCACTCAAGAGTAGGTACAGCGCAGTGATTCAGAGGACCCAGTGTGCACCCAACAATATTGCTATCTCTGTGTGCTTGGCACCGTATCCGAGTTCTCAGCGCTAGAAATGCAGTCTGAGCCCTAAAACCGGGGGTGTGTCTACATCGTTGTGGAGAATTACATCAGTTTAAGGGTTGTAAAGCACTTAGAATTGTGTTCGATGTGCAATAAGCGCTGGGCAAATGTTGGCTTTCAGTCTGAGTAGCTCGGCCAGAGATCTCCTCGGGCCACAAGCCTGTCAACGCCCACTCCCGCCCGCAGCGGCACCCCGAGGACCGCCCGCCCCACCCGCGCCAGGCCAGACCGGGGAGCGCGTCACGTGACCGGGCCAAGATGGCGTCGCCCAGGGCCGTGCGGCTGCTGGCGCTGCTTCTCCTGTCCTGGTCCTGTGCGGCCGCGCGGCGCCGCGAATCGCCGGCGCCTCTCCCGCTGGTGATCTGGCATGGGATGGGTGAGTGGGTGAGAGAGAAGAGGGTCAGGATGGTCCGGCGACGCTGTCCCTCTCCCCCTGCCCGGGTTCGCGCCTGCAGAGTGCAGGTGTGAAGGGGAAAAAAGACCATGGCCACACGCCACCAGGCTGGCCCTTCTTTAGGATTTGGAAGGGCCGCTGGGTATCGGAAAGGGAGAAGGGGGGAAAAAGTTCTCGGCGGGGTGAGCTCTCACGGGATCCTACGTGCTGTCTTTGTTTCCGTCCTCAGAGCGGGGGCGTCGATGTGCAGCATCGGGGTCTTCACGGGGGGCGCTGAATTGTGTGTGGCTTCGTCACCAAGTCACCCATCCTTTCATTCATTCTTACAGCAACAGGGATTTTGAAGTGTATTTTATCTGGGTTTTGGGGCCACACCCAGCACTGCTCGGGACTTGATTCTGCCTCTGCGCTCGGGGATCACTGCTGGCGGGATCAGACAAGTGTCAGGCAAACACCCGACCCTCTCTGCGGTCGCCCAGGCCCCAATAATAGAGCGTTTTGGACACCTGTAATTCCTGCCTGCTTTTAACACCTATCGATGCAGAGGATGCAGTAATGAATGAAATAGACCAAATTCTTTCTCTTGTAGAACAATTTTCATAGGGAGAGTAGAACTGTTAAGAAAGAAGTGGCGGGGCTAGGAGCGATAGCACAGCTGGTCGGGTGTTTGCCTTGCTTGCACGCGGCAATCCCATATGGTCCCCTGAGCACCGCCAGGAGTAATTCCTGAATGCAGAGCCAGGAGTAAGCCCTGTGCATCGCAGCGTGTGACCCCCTCTAACCCCCCCCCCCAAAAAAAAAAGGAAAAAGAAAGAATGAAAGAAATGGGGCCAGAGAGATAGCACAGGGTGTACATCGCTTGCCTTGCACATGGTAAACCCAGATTTCATACCTGTATGGCTTACAGTTCACCAGCACTCCCAGGAAACCCTGAGTCCTGCCAGCTGTGCCCAAAAACAAACAAAAATTTAAAGACTTTGGGGAGGTGGGGGCTTGCAACTTTACAGAGTAAGGTCAGGACAAGATGAGCAGAGAGTTACCTGAGGGAACACCTGAAATGGAGAAGGAAGATGCCATTTGTATGGTAGAAGGAACAGTAAAGGCAAAGATGGTGGGGTAGAATCATGAACTGTTTTGTTTAAGAAGCAGCATTCAGGTCATTGTGGTTGGAACAGACAGAGCCAGAAACAAAGAAAGGAGTTTTGAGACTGAGTCAGGCAGGTGCTGTTAGGCCTCTTAAACTAGGGAGCAGAGATTTTGAGCAAGTCTGATTTACATAATAAGATCTGATTTACATCTTAAAAGGAATACTCTAGTTGCCATATTGAAAGTAGATGGGGGGGGGGGGGTCAAGGACATTTGCAGGGAGGCGGCTGAAATAATTTAAATAAGTGAATGGTAACTTGAAATAGTATACCACTGAGGGAGATGTTGAGAAGGGTCAGAGTTTTGAAGATCTCAAAGATAGAAACAACAGGATTTGCTAACAGATTAGATATAGGGTGAGAGGGAAAGCTGTCAAGGATAACCCTAGGGGTTTTGTGTGGACATTCAGATGGATGAAGTTGTTATTCTACTAAAATGAAGACACTCTTAAGGCTAGCACGTTTGGGAGGAGAGAAAGTCGAGTGTTTGCTTCTGGGTTTACTAATATTGGGTGGTCATTGGACATCCAGGAGATTTCAATGCACTTGGAGTACAGTTCAGATCCTCCAAATTCCAGTAGGTGGGGGTCACACCCACCAACTGGCCCTCTGGCGCCGTGTAATCCCATCAGCAGCCAAGACTCAGAGACTATAAAAACCAGCTCCTGGAACCGCGCGGCCACGAATGACATCTTATTATGACATCTTATTATCTCATTCCTACTTTGGACAAACTGGCAGGCTACCGAATGTAGCCTGCCCACACGGCAGAGTCTGGCAAACTCCCTGTGGCGTACCCAATATGCCAAATACCAGTAACAATGATGGGTCTCATTCTCCTAAAGAGCCTTGAATATAATCTCAGGGCTAGGATGAAGGAGACGTTATTGGGGCCTGCTCGAGGCAATCGACGAATAACAGGATGATTTGTGATTTGTGGAGTACAGTGTGTTGGACAAAGATAAAGGCTGGAGGTTTAGGTTGGGAGTCTCAATTTAATTAATAGCTTGACTGGTATTCAAAGTCATGCGATTGTGCAAGACTGCTTAGGGAATTAGCATATCCAAAGGAAGAAAATTTTTAGGTCTGAGGCCCTCCACTGTTTTAAGGTTGTGGAGACAAGAAGGACCTTATGAAGGAAAGAGCAATGAAACAGGGAGGTAGAGATTGTAGTATCCTGGAGGACAGGTGCAAATGCTTGAAGAGGCGGGTGTAATGAACTGTATGGAATGTTGTTGACGGGTGAAGTAAAATAAGGGCCTTGAGTTGGCTGGTGAATTTAGCAATAGGAACTCCACTATGGGGTCATCGTGGGAGTGAGCGCCTTTTGGAATGGGTTAAAGAGAAGTGTTCAGAAAGGAATTCAGCAATCTAGATAGTTCTTTCAGAGTTCTGTGTCACGCCTCGAAGATACAGTGCAGATGAAAGAAAAATGAATACCCAGTGCTCTACCAAACAATCTGTCCATATGTCAGTGTAGTAAATAAGATTATGAGAGAAGGAGAAGAAATTTGGGGCCTTGGACTTTTGTTCCTTAAGAGCTGATTCTTGGGACTGGAGAGATCAGAAGGCAGATAAGGTGCTTGCCTTGCATGCAGCTGACCAAAATTCAATCCCTGGCACCACTTCCAGTCACCTGAGCTCTACCAGGAGTGATCTCTGAGCACAAGCCACGAGTAGTTCCTGAGAAGACCTGGGTATTCATTCCCCTTTACCACCACATTCCCCTCACCCCCGCCCCCACATGCACACAAAAATTCTAATTCGTAAGTTTCCTCCCAGGTTGAAAATGGGATCTTGAATTTCAAATAGAACATGATCTCAGCCCACTTCTACTTGGTGGTCAGACACTCTGCTTCCCACTCTTGGTTTTGGTTCCTTGAAACAGAAAGAAACAGGGCAGAGCACCCACCCTCACCCCACCCCTGGGTTTTTCAAGTTCAGGGTCGGCACATGCAATATGAGAGCAAATAGACCTCCAATGTGGTATTCCCGGCACTCACTCATTTCCCCCAGGTCCTGACCTTGAAGGGAAACCAGATTCCGCAGCAATTGTGGGTCTCTTAACCTTAGATGTTCCGAGTGAGAAGGGAGGGAATGTGTACCCCCTTGCTTCTCCCTCTCCCCCAATTTGTTTATTTGGTGTACCAGTTATAACCAATAGGCTTTTTTTTTTTTTTTTTTGCTTTTTGGGTCACACCCGGTGATGCTCAGGGGTTACTTCTGGCTTTGCACTCAGGAATCACTCCTGGCGGTTCTCGGGGGACCATCTGGGATGCTGGGATTCGAACCCGGGTCGTCTGCGTGCAAGGCAAATGCCCTACCCGCTGTGCCATTGCTCCAGCCCCCCAATAGGCTTTTAAAGCCAGAAGTTTTATGAAAATTATTTTCCTCTTTCTCTTTTTTTCTTATTGAAGTGAAGTCCCTGTAACATATAGTTAACCATTTAAAATCAAGCCTATAATTTATGGTTACTTTTATGTTCCCACAGTGTTATGCAGCTACCAAGTCTCTCTGTCTTCATCACTCCAGCAAACCTGTGTATCCACTGTCTGATCACATCTCATCCTTGTTTATCTTGATTGTGGTGGGTTTGCATCCTGTTCCCAGGTCAGAAACATCGAGAACTTGAGTTCCTTAGTTTTCTGACGCACAGTCACCAGATATGCAGAGAGAGACAGTCTCAGGAAGTTTTGATTGGTGTTTCTCCAGAGATCAGTAAAGTTGAAAGTCCTTATTCTTTTTTTTTTTTTTTTTTTTGTGGGGTGGGCTCACATTCAACTGTACTCAAGACTGACTCTTGGCTCTTTGCTCAGGGGACCATATGCTATACCCTCGATCAAACCTGGCTTGGCCACGTGCAGGCTTGTGCCTTCCTTACCCAGGGTGCTGGCTTTCTGGCATCAGAGTTGAACATCTTTTCTGTGTGCAGGTTGCCCTTTTGTATATCTTCTCTGGGGTCTGTTCAGATCCTTTTCCAACTTTTTAATGAGGTTAATTTTTTTTGGGGGGGTTTTGGGTCATATCCAGTGATGCTCAGGATTGTGTCCCAGGACTCCTGGCAGTACTTAGGGGACCAATCATGCGATGCCAGGGATTGAATCTGGGTCGCCCATGTATAAGGCAAGAGCCCTACCCGCTGTACTAGCTCTCCAGTCCCACAGTCTTTAAGTTAAGATGAGAACCTGGGTAATTCCTGAGTGCGGAACTAGAAGTGACCCTTGAACATCACCAGGTGTGGCCTATTCTCCCCTCCCACCCCAAAAAAGAATTATTCATGTATTCTGGGCATTAAAATTGTATCTGCGTTTTGAAAACGCTTCCTCCCATTCTGCGTTTTGTCTTTTCATATTCTTTCCTTGTCCTTCTCCTACCCCTTTGGTGCTGAGGATTGAGCCCAGGACCTTCTGCATGCCAGTCTACACTGTACCACTGGTCTACATCCCAACCCATCTTATACTTGAAGCTTAAAAAATAATTTTTAATAAGTAATGCTTTAATTCTTATGATTCTGTTTGTCGTCTAGGGGATAGCTGCTGCAATCCACTAAGCATGGGTGCTATTAAAAAAATGGTGGAAGAGAAAATACCAGGAATCTACGTCTTATCATTAAAGATCGGGAAGACAGTGATGGAGGTGAGCGCCCCCAGCTCTCTTTTCCATCGGAGGCTGGCTGACTAGAATGTGCTACTCAAATCCGACCTCAGCCCTGGGTAGCTTTTGTCAGAGGATGCCAAGCTCGACAGGCAGGTCGGCCTCTCTGAGCAGATGCCGGGGTTGACGCGAGCCCCACCCGCTCACTGCTCTGACTTCTCTTTCAGGACATGGAGAACAGCTTCTTCATGAATGTCAACTCTCAAGTCTCCACAGTGTGTCAGGCTCTTGCTAAGGACCCCAAATTACAGCAAGGCTACAACGCCATGGGATTCTCCCAGGGAGGCCAGTTCCTGTAAGTTCCTTTCCACTGTACTCCTTACATGGACTCTTGTTATTACTTTCTTTTATACAGATAGATCCAGTTCTTTATACTTGGTAAGTTTCACTTATTTTACAAGGGAAATTATCCTAAACTCTCCCCAAATGAGAAATGTTATAGTTCCTGACTAATTTTTTTTTTTTTTGTCATACCCAATAATGCTTGGGGCTTACTTCTGGCTCTGCACTCAGGGATCACTCCTGACTGACTGGGGGCACCATATGTGATGTGGGGTATCGAACCTATGTCGGCTTCATGGAAAGCAAGCACCCTATCAGGTTTCCTCCTCCCCCCTTTTTTTTAATGAAAAAATAAAGACTTGTGAGACTGGATGGTTTAGAAATTAATGCTCATGTATTGCCTGTGTCTGAGTTTTTATTCCCCAGAACTCTCGGGTCCCCTGAGCTGACCGTGGCCCTGAAGGCCCCCAAACTCTCCAGCACGGCAGCTTGGATAATCCCCAGCACTCTGGAGCCTGAGCAGCACCACATCCTCAGACCAAGCTTCGAACCCAGGGCCAGATTTGCTCAGCCAGGAGGGGAGGCCCCTGCAGTTCCTTAATAGCCCCCTCGCCCCCCAAAAAAGAATTAAGATGTGTATTTGTCCATATCAGAAGAAAATTCTGAAGCTTGGTGTATTTGGGGACTCATAGAGGACTAAATAGTTGAATCTGGATACATTGAGGACGCATTTCCATCCACAGTCAGAGCTGACGGATCTTTTTCTTCCCCAGGAGGGCGGTCGCGCAGAGATGCCCCTCCCCGCCCATGATCAACCTCATCTCAGTGGGGGGACAACATCAAGGTAACTTTGACCTCTTAGCCTCCTTTTCCCTCTCTGTTTCAATCCATGTGGCTGCCACTTGTGAAACATTCAAGCAGTCAGTTTTACAGGAAAATCTTTTGTTTTCGCTTGATAACAAAGCTGGCCAGCACCTGATGAGGAAGTAGGGAGAGACTACGGGTTCCAGCAGCCTGCAGCGAAGGTGAATCATTGGTTTGTCATTCATTGCTCTCCAGTCTAATGGGCATAATTTCCTGGAAGTAGCAGTTGTGAAGGGAGGAAAAAACTCATAGCCTTTTCTGATTTTTTAAGTGGTACTGTCCTGTTGAGTCAGGCAAAGTAGAGTTGTTTGTTTGTTTGTTTTTATTTTTGGGGCCACACCTAGCAGTGTTTAGGGCTTATTTCTGACTCCCTGCAGAGAACCAGGTGGGCTCAGAGAACCATTTGGGATGCTGGGGATCGAACCCAGGTCAGCTGTGTGCAAGACAAGCACCCTGCCTGTCCCCAAGTAGAGCTTTATTGTCTGTAAAATTAGCAGCAGACTCCTTTAGAAAAAGCAGTGTTTTCCCTTTAGACAGAACTGCTTGTTTTGGGGAAAGGATTTGTCTTTGGGATATGTCTGTCCATCTGTTTTGAGGCACAGAGCTATTAGCTGTCAGAGTGTAGAGGCAGAAACCTGATAACCAGGAAACTGGGTTCACCTGATTAACTGTTACTGATGATCAAGTTATTTGGTATCTTGGATCCCTTTCACAAAAGAGAGACACTAAGATAGGCCCTGCCAATCTTGTGTGAAGTTTTCAGGACTGAAGTGAAATAATAGGTCAGAGTATACTTTTTAGCTGTTGTCCTTTGGCCTGGCTCTGAGTGTATGTCCTCTTCACCTCTGGGAACATCTCGGTAGTGGTATCTTTGTCATCAGGGTCATCTTCTTGCCTTTCTGGGACCCTGGTGATTTTTTTTTTTTTATTTTGGGCAACAGTTAAGTGCTCAGGCCAGACAGTGTTATTCTACTCAGGCCCAGTGGGGCTGGGGGCCTTCTGAGCTGTGCCCAGCCGTGTCTGGGAAATCATACCATCTGGGCCTACCATGTATCTAGCCATTTGACCTAACCCTCAATCCCTTATGTTTTTTCATGTACGATTACCTTTATTTGGTTATTGTTTATCTACTATTTTTTGTGTGTTTGTTTTCGGGTCACATCCAGTGATGCTCAGGGGCTACTCTTGGTTTTGCACTCAGGAATTACCCCTGGCAACGCTCGGGAAACCATATGGGATGCCGGGGCTCGAACCTAGGTCAGCAGCATGCCAGGGAAATGCTCTGCCCGCTGTAATATCACTCTGGCCCTGACCCCAATGATTCTTATGTTACTCATCTTGAATTCATCACACAGTTTTCTTGTCAGCTGCTCTTTTATTTTGAGGGTATTTTTTCCCTTCTGTTGTTGTCTGGAGTTTTCTGCACCTTATCTTGTCACTCACCAATTTTTTTTTTCTTTTCTTTTTTTTTTTTATTTATTTATTGAATCACTGTGGGAAAGGTTACAAAGCTTTCAGGTTTATGTCTCAGTCATGCAAATATCAAACACATTTCCCTTTACCAATACTTATTTTTTACCATGAAGAACCCCAATAAAACCCCACCCCCCACCCCTCCCCGTCCCTGTGAGGCAGATGAATTCTAGTTAACACTCTATCTGCTTTGATTAGATTCATTGTTTCAATAAAAGATTCACCACTATTATTTAGAGTTTACCCCCCCCCCCCCCCCCCAAATCAGACATGTTGAAAAAGCATTGTGAAGTGATTTGCTTTCTACGGCTGGGTTCAAGAATTAAATGTTGGTTTTGGATTTCTGCTCTTTTACCTATTGATCCTGGAAGTATTTCTACTGAAAGTCAGATAGTTAAGAAATTGGTTTCTGTGTTCTGGAGTCCTGGCCGTGTCACTCACCAATTTTGTCTCCAGCAGCAATTACGCTGCTGCTGAGGCCTTCCAGTGCGTTTTTAATTTCATCTACCAAGTTTTTCAGTCCTGTCATTACTGTTTGTAGTTTCCTCATTTCTGCTCTCATATCCTGTGGGTTTTTTTTTTATGATTCAACACTTTTTATTAGACTTACTTTTATCTACCTTAATGCGTGACACAAGAAGAATAATGAAATTAAATGATCATATAATGCTCACAGTACATGTTTTCTAATCTAGAAAATACAATAATATAAAAAAGTGTTTACCAAATTTGGAAGCATCAAAGGGATCTAAAACCAGTGAAGTAATTTTTGTTTGAGATGTTGAGTTTGCCCAAATCTCTCCTGGCTCTGCACTCAGGAATTACTCCTGGCAGTACTCAGGGAACCATATGGGATGCTGGGAATCGAACCCAGGTCGGGCAGGTGCAAGGCAAATGCCCTACCCGCTGTGCTATCACTGCAGCCCCCCTTGAATAAAAATTTTTAATGGCGATCAGACTCATGGACCAGAATTGGTTTTGTATTGATTACAGGGCTGACTCTGGGTGCTGCCTGGAGGGGTCCTGGCTCTCATCTGGCTTTCATTTTGAAACCTTCTCTGTGTGCTGGGGAGGCTGACCTGAGCGTTAATAATTCTTGTCAGTACATGCTTAGAACTCCGCCTGGAATCCCCCAGAATGTTCTTGATGTGACTGATGCAGACATTTTTTCCTCTAGGACTGAGGAAAGGCAAGGCTGAGCAGGTTAGGGGTTAGGAGAGTGGGTTAGGAGAGAGTAGGTTAGCGGTTAGCAGGTACTCCCTCTCTCACTGAGACCTGAGACCAGCGAGGGAGGCCTCCAGAGAAGTGGGGGAAGCCCACGGGGTGGGGGCAGCAGGTGCTTGGCCTTGGCAGAAAAGAACAGTGGACCTGGGGCTAGAGAGGTAGGTTAGCAGGGAGGCCCTTGTTCCATCCCCAGCACCCTTCCTTACACTCCTCTGAGCACAGAGCCAAGAGTAAGCCACCCAAACAATGAAAGAGAGAGAGAGAGAGAGAGAGAGAGAGAGAGAGATGGAGAGAGAGAGGGAAAGAGAGAGAGAGGGAAAGAGAGAGAGGGAAAGAGAGAGAGAAGGAGAGAGAGAGAGAAGGGGAGAGAGAGAGAGAGAGAGAGAGAGAGAGAGAGAGAGAGAGATCCTGTTACTGTATTTCATTTTCAATACTCCATTTTCCTGAGGAATAAATGAATGCTATCAGGGCTTGGCTCTGGTTCTTTTCTGTTTTGATTCTCACAGTGCCTTGCTCGTGGTAAGCCGTCAGTTCTCAGTTATTGAAGGTGTGGCTGTTTGTCTTCCTCTCCTCTAGGTGTTTTTGGACTCCCTCGGTGCCCCGGAGAGAGCTCCCACATCTGTGACTTGATCAGAAAAACCCTAAATGCTGGGGCTTATTCTAAAGCCGTCCAGGAACGGTATGTATAGTGGGCGGGAAGAGAGACGGGACTCTCTGGCATGAACATAGCACGCAGGTTTGCTCTTCAGGCTAACATGTTCACTTGAACACCTATCTTGTCTGTCTTTATGTTTCTTTGCTTGCTTTTTTCACTTTGAAGAAATCCATGTTCTCTCTCTTTTTTTTTTTTTTTTTTATAATTTATTTATTTATTGAATCACTGTGGGAAAAGTTACAGAGCTTTCGGGTTTAGGTCTCAGTCATGTAGATACCAAACACATTTCCCTTTACCAATACTCATTTTTAACCCCGAACCCCAATAGACCCCCACCCCTCCCAATTCTTGTGAGGCAGATGAGTTCTAGTTAATACTCTATCTACTTTGACTAGATAGATTATTTCGATAGAAGATGCACAATTATTGTTTAGAGTTTACGACCCACCCCCCACAATCAGACATGCTGAAACAGCGTTGTGAAATGATTTGCTTTCTACAACTTGGTTTAAGAATAAAATGATGTTTTGAATTTCTGCTATTTTACTTATTGACCCTGGAAGAATTTCTATTAAAAGTTAGCTAGTTAAGAGATTGGTTTCTGTGCTCTGGAGTCGTGGCCGTGCCGGAGAGCCGCTCGTGGGGGGCAGCTGGCGACCTCAGTGGGGCGTGGGGGACGGCCCACAAAGCCCCCCTTCCCATGAGGTCCCTGCCGCTCCCGCCAGCCCCGGCTCAAACCTGCTTTCCACAAGGCTCCCGTGCGGCCGCCATCTTTCTTTCCCCATGTTCTCTCTTAAACACATATTTTTCCCCTTTTTCTTCTCTGACATCTTTTTTTTCTGTTTTGTTTTGTTTTGGGACCATACCCAGCAATGCTTAGGGCTTACTCCTAGCTCTGCGCTCAGGAATTACTCCTGGTGGTGCGTTGAGGACCACATGTGATGCCAGGGATCAACCCCGGGCCAGCCGCATGCAAGGCAAACACACCACCCGCTGTGCTATCCCTCTGGCCCCTCCTCTCACATGTATCTAGGCAAGTTTTATTCAATAAAAACTATCTCGCTTTGCTGGAAAAAAAGGAAGGAAGGAAGAAAGGAAAAAGGAAAAAAGTAGCACATAGGACAGAAAGATGGCTCAGAGAGCTGAGTGCAGACAGGGCACGCATGAGGCCCCCCGAGTTCTATCCTGGCACCATCAGTCTGATTCCAGGGACTGGGGAGATAGGACAGTGGGTAGAGCATTGGCGTTGTATGCGGCCAACCTTGGTTCAATCCCCAGCGTCCCATATGGTCCCCCAAGCACCGCCAAGAGTAATTCCTGAGTGCAGAGCCAGGAGTCAACTCCTGAGCATTGCCGGGTGTGGTCCAAAAACAAACAAAAAGAAATTCTGATTGCATGGGTCTGGAAGATACTAGCATGGTTATGGTATTAATCCTCTGGGTTTCCTAAGTTTGACATTGTTGAAGCACGTGTCCCTGAAGCCATTTCACAAGCACAGCCCTGTAATGACCTGCGTGGCCTGCAGCCAGCAGCCTGCGCTTCCTTTCCTGCCCGTTGGCTGAGTGGAGCCACAAAGCTGTCTCTTGGCAACAGTGCCACCTGGTGGTCAGCATAGGAGAAGAACATACCTTTTTTTTTTTTTTTTTTTAACTTTAAAGTTGTTCATATGCAGCTGTTCCAGACATTCAGTGTTCCAACACCAATCCCACCATCAGTGTGACCTTCCCTCCACCATTTTACCAAGTTTCCCACCTATCCCCAAGCCTGCACCCTAGGCAGGCACAAGATTGTTTAGTTTTTATTGGAGAAGCACATAGTTTAGATTACCACATTTCCCCTGCAGCCAACTCTAAAGGCTGCTAAGTCTTTCTCTCCCAATGATTATTAATTTACTTATGTATTGGCTTTTTGAGTCACACCTGATGATGCTCAGGAATTACTCCTGCCAGTCCTTGGGGGACCATATGGGATGCCGGGATCGAACCCGATTGGCTACAAGCAAGGCAAATACTCTACCCGCTGTACTGTCTCTTGGCCCCTTCGATGATTATTAGTCCCTGCTTTCTAAAGGACATCATACCACCAAGGTGATTATTCTAGTCTTTCCTCACTGACAGAGTTTTGTAGTTACTGTATTTTCCAGGCTTTTTTTATCTGTTTTGTTTTGGGATTACCCTCAGCACCAGTTCCTTATTTGGGGGTACACCGCCCCCCCCCCCAGTTACCTGAGGGATTATGCCTTGTGCTATCTCTCTGCCTGCTTCCTCCGTCACTCCCACCCCTACCCTCCAGATTCTCAGCAGCCCCACAATTATTCCAATTTTGGAAACAAGGAGACTGGAATGCGGGGGAGTTACAGTGAAAGGAAGTGTGGCCTCCGGGATCTGCCTGCCTCCAGGATTCAAGTTATGTTCATTGTCGCACGTTTTCTCCCGGTTCTAAAGCCCTTCAAGTGTTTTCTCCAACCTGAATACCTTTTGGTATTCCTGAATTTATGCCACGTGTGCATGGATTAGCTTCTCATTCTAATCCGTGTGTCTTTGATTATTGGTCAGGTTGAGCATTCGTTCATATTTCTGGACCACCCTTTCTGTGAATTGTGACTTGTAGCCTTTGCCATTTTTTTCTATTTGGTGCTTTGTCTGTCTTATAAGTATTATAGGCACACATATCACATATGTATTTTAAATATCAAGCATTTCTATTTTAGCTATATTACATTGCTAGTCTGTGGCTTACTTTTACATTTTATGTATGTTTTTTTTTTTTTTTGTACAGCCACATGCAAGGCATGCACCCACTATGCTGGGGGTATATTTAAGAATTGGCTCGTGGCTTACTCCTGGCTCTTGTGCTTCGGAATCGCTCCTGGCGGCGCTTAGGATTAAACTGGGGTCAGTTGCATGCAAGGCAAACACCTGACCCGCTGCACTATCTTTCTGGCTCTCTAATCCCAATTTTTGTACAGATTGCACATGTTCCTTGAGCAGGTTTTGGGGGTGGGGTAAAGGCTTGAACTTCAGGGCAAGTGTACTGCCTGGTGAGTGAACTTCATAGAAATTGTGGAAATCCTCCAGATTTAGGCTCTTGACTTTTCCACAACTAAGTGGGTGGGTTTGAGAGTCGCTTAACTCCCCGAAAGTGATTCTCCAGCAGAAACAAGGACAAGCGTTTCTACTCCGCTTCCCTAAGCCCCTCCACCCCCCCCAACCCCTTCCCTGGGCTTTCAGATTCTGTGACCCCCCTCAGCCACTTCCCTGTAGGGCCTGTGTGTACCCTGCTTCCCACAAAACACAGCTTCTTTTCTGCCTGTTGTCCCTTCAAACCCCAGCTTCCGTTTCACACTAAAAGGTGATTCCCACCAAATAGAAAAACTAGCAGAGGCTACAAATCACAATTCACCGAAAGGGTGGTCCAGAAATATGAAGAGGCAGCACAAAGTTTGAGGCTGTGTCTTGCATGTGGCCCACCCCAGTCTGATCCTTGACCCTGCCCGGTCCCAGGAACAAATCCTGAGCAGAGAGCTAGATATGGCACAACCCTTCCCCCCAAAAGGAAGGTGACTCTCTGCCTGGTATCTTCCCTGGTTCTCTCATCCTGTCTGCCAGCTCGCTCTCTCTCTCTCTCTCTCTCTCTCTCTCTCTCTCTCTCTGGGGTGACAGTGAGGTGCTCTGTGCACATGTGTCGGGCCCCTGAAGCCCTCATTTCCTGTCCTCTTCCAGCTCTATCCCACTTAAGCAGAACGACAAGGTCAGTGCTCACGGCCGGCTTTGTGTGTTTAATGTTCATTGTGTATTGCAAAACCAGCGAAAGTAAACACTGACCTGCAGAAGTGTGTGAGTGTGCGTGTAAAACTGGATTTCGAGTGTTGCTCGACTCCCCTCGGCTCTGTGCTCGCTGCAGCCCAGTTCCCGGGGCACCGTCTGCTCTGCTGAGTGCAGCCTCCTGACTGCGGCACCAGGGAAGCTCTTCCACCTTGGCTGGGGGGCTCTTGTGGTAGAGAAAGGTTTTTCCTTCCTCCTGCCTCACCCCCATCCCTAGGATGGAGAGTCCCTCCCTATTCTGGGTGCTCCCTTTCCTAGCGGACATCTCCTGTTAGGTCCCTGCTTGCCTGGTTTGGACCACCCCTTGGCCATGAGGTGTCCCAGGGCCCTGGAGAGCTGCAATCAAGAGGTCTGTTTGGGCAGGGGGCAGGACTAGGAAGCAGGAGAGATGAGGGAATGGAGGAAATGTGGAAGCAGATGTTGTAAATGGTGATATAGAACCACCAAGTACCTGTCCTCTGTCCATCATTGTTGTCTGGTCAGCCAGGATCCTGAAAGCAAGTGTCATCACCCTAGGGATCAGCACTTTGTCCTGCGAAGGCATTGTCCTCACCTTCTAAGGGCGACGGGCACATGGATAGAGGTGGCCGAACGGAAGGCAGAGGCTGTGCTCGACTGAGTCATGAAGGATGAGTAGGAAGCAAAGAAGGGGATTGGGGGGGGGGTAGGGAGCACAACCTGTTTCCTGAGCTGCAGCCATGGGAAGTGGGGTGCAGCTCGGCCCCGGGAGCCCCAGACTGGATCTCAAGGACCTGCTGTGCTCACCAGCACTCCTGCCTCTGGGTCTTGGTGCTGAATTGTCTTGTAGATGGACAAAAGCTCGTGTGCTCTGCTTCTCTCCCTTTGAAATCTCTCAGTGGCTTCTGTCCCCAGTGTCCTGGCTGACATGCAGCTTGTTCATGTTTACTGTTTCCTTCCTGCAGCCTGGTGCAAGCAGAATACTGGCACGACCCCATCAAGGAGGATGTGTACCGCAATAACAGCATCTTCTTGGCAGATATTAACCAGGAGAGAGTAAGCAGCAACCTCCCTGCCCCATCTCCACCCCCGCCCCCACTCCTGCCCCCATTTCTGAAGAGCCACACGCTCCTGTTGGACTCTGTGGTCACCCAGCAGTGACTATTGACTGAGAGATCTTGGGCAGAAACCAGGAACCAGAAACTCTGCTTGGGGTGTGTGTGTGGGGGGGGGGGGGGGGGAGGTGGGGGTAGGGTGGGAATGGCCATACTTAGGAGATGTGGTTCCTTCGAGGGAGCTTCAGTTCACAGGCCTCCCCCCTTCCCCTGCCCCTTAGTTAAGTGGGACCAGCTTGGTAGGTCACTGCCTGACATAAGGGGAACTTCGCAGCTGCTGTCCACTTTGGGGTGAGATTTTTTCTAAAGAGAGGCTGCAGAGAAACTATTCCCAGCATAAGCAGGGTTGGAGAGATCCTGCTGATGTGGATGTCTGTATTTACACTGGGTTTATCTGGAGGGTTTTTTTTATGGCTTGAGGCAGGCTTCATTGGCAGGAAGTGCCTTTTTGGAAGACGAAGAACTCATGTCCTCTTATCTGCATGGTCAGAAGCAGCTTTTACAGGGGAAAAAGTGGGGTGCTGCAGAATTGGGTACCAGAACAAAGAGTGAATTCTTCGTGGGCTGGTCGAGGCAGTCCTCACCTCTGCAAGCCCAAACACAGCAAGGACTAAAGGAGGAACTGGTCCTATTCTTTAGGCTGGGCAGAGGGGAGAGGAGGACGGGACAAGAGTCTCGGTCTGGGAGTTTGCGCTTCTAATTTCTTGGGTGTGGGGGTTTTGGTTGTGTTTGAAAATTCGAAGGGGAAAGAAGAAAATATAGGAGAACCCCTCAAAATGCACACTTTATTTTGCCTTGGACTTAATTTCCCCCTACCCTTCCCCTCTGTGGCGGTTGGTGGGCTGCTCACACCCGTGGTTGGAGTGTAGCAGAGATCGCACATTTATGGTGGCACCTGGGGTGCCCATGGCATGACTGCCGCCTGCAGGGTGGTACCTGGGATCGAACCCATGACTTCACCCTTGCAAGCCCGGCTCTCTACTCTTCTGCTTTCCTGGGCCCCTGCTTCAGCATCTTCCTTTAGCAGCCTTCAAGCTACTTGACAATGCATTTGCAGGCCACTGGCAGATTCCTGGTGGCCAGTGTGTGCCCTGGCTGGTGGGGGCGTGTCAGTCAGAGAGGATGAGGAGAAAGGGATGTACAAGCACATCCCAGACCGAGAGCAGCCCCAGGGGGCACCCTGATACACCATGGCTTTTCCCCCAGGAAGTCAACGAGTCCTACCGGAAAAACCTGATGGCCCTGAAGAAATTTGTGTTGGTGAAATTCCTCAATGACTCTGTGGTGGACCCTGTGGATTCTGAGGTGAGAGACAGCCAGTGTATATGCCAAGTTTAGAGCCTGCTGGTAGGGAACCCCCAGTCCCCACCATCCAGCTGGGAGAGAGAGAAAGATCAGAACCGTCACCCCAAAGCCTGCATATCCCAATGGTTGGCATTCAAGGTCTCTCCCTTCACTACCACCACCAGCCTGCAGTTATTGAAAGGCTGAGAGCCAGTGGCCTGCTGCCCTGACACAGACGAGTGTCGGTCCGCAGACGGACCAGTTGAAGCGCACTGGTCTAGACTTCGGCACAGGGACTTCCATGGGGTTAAGTGCTCAGTACTGGAAGAGAGGCAGAAGTTCTGGGGGAATTGGAAAGCTCTTTCGGAAGAGGTTTGAAGTTCATCCCTAAAAAGAGAAAACTCTAGACACTCTTTTTCCGCCTTGCTGCGGCTTCAGGATGTCTCATTTGTGGTCTTCGTGCCAGCCAGTGTGGGTGTGGTGGCATGTGCCTTGGGACCCAGCTGACCATCTCTCTTCCTCCTCTCCTGCAGTGGTTCGGCTTCTACAAAAGTGGACAAGCCAAGGAGACGATCCACTTACAGGAGACCGCTCTATACAAACAGGTAACTGGAGCAGGGTAGCTGCCCTGCACAGCTCTTGGCTCCTGAAGCTGCTGAAGCCCTTTTGGGGGTGTGGCGTGTCCTATGCACCCCAGAGCAGTTTGCACTCACAATACCTCTGACTTGTGTTGTATGGGTCTTTTAGGCTCCTGGTTGTCGCACTAACCTCTCAGGCACCTGTTCACAGAAGTCGGCATCTCTCACTGCTTTCCTCCTGACACAGAGACTTAGAAATGGCATCTTCTGCTGAATGTACCCTTCTACAAATCCAAGCGGCCCCATGCAAAATGAAAACCTGGGAGGGAAAGCTGTTCCCTCAGACTTTACTTGATATGTAACTGGGTTCCGGTTAGGTGCCGACAGCGGGAAGTTCTGTTTCTCAAGGAGAGGTTGCATCACTTCCCCACCCCCAGTTCTGGGGGAGGATTCAGACTCTCCCAGTTGTGCACAGATGCTCCATTGTAAGCCACTGGCTTGTTTTGACTTTGGGGCTACACTCTGTGGTGGTCAGGGCTTACTCATTGCTCTGTGCTCAGAGATCACTCCTGGTGGGCCTGGGGGACCATGTTGGATGCCAGAGTTTGAACTTGGGTCACCTGCTCGTGAAGCAACTGCCTTACCTGCTGTACTATATCTTCAACCTCCGAGCCCTGGTTCTTGACTAGAATTTCTCCAAGTAATTCCCAGAGGCTCCTCTGGGCTTCTCTCCTGCATTGGGTGTCCTAGCTTGGGGCAGGATGAAAGAAAGGGAACGGTGGCTAGGGAGATGATACAGGTTAAGGCACTTGCCCTGGATGCGGCCAACCTAATTTGATCCCCAGCACTGTGTAAAGTTCTTAAACACTGCTAGGTGTGATCCCTGAGCACCTCTGGGTGTGAGCCCCCCAGAACAAACCATCACCACCCCCCAAAAAGGAGTCCTTCCTGGTTGCTTTGTCTTAGGCTCAGTCTCACGGAACCAACCATTGTCCTTGTCTGGGGCTTGTTCCTCCTCCCCTCCCACAATAAGGTCCTCCAAAGGCCCCGGAGGTTTTTTTTTAATGTAAATTTTAAAAATTTTATAAAGTAGTTTACAATATTTCATTACATTTAATATTCAAACACCAGTTCCACCACCATTACACCTTCCCACAACCAGATTTTGGGTGTTTCCATCCCGAACCCCAATCCCTGCACCAAAGCAGAACCAAAATAACATATTTTGTATTGTTATGAAAAACCACTGAAAATGCTACCAAAAAATACCCTTAAAGAGTGTGGAGATTGTTGTATTTCACCCAGGGGCCATTAAGCCCTTCTATGAGACCACTTACATGTTGTTAACGGTTGAGCCTTCTGTGCTTTTTATATATCTGTAAAAAGAAAATGTATTTTCCCTCTAAGATTGGTTACCTCCTACTTTGAAACATATCAAACGTGGTGTATGGGTAGGGTGTGTGGTTTGAAGTATCATGTGGCCACATTTGCAGCTGCGAGATCCAGGAATAGATTCACTCATAGGTGATGCTCTGCCCGAGCGTGTGGAGAGCAGCCGAGAGCATGGTGGTGGCTGGGTTCTGGAGATTTCCCGCTGCTGGGGCTGGGTCCCTTGGGGCAGGGAGGGATCTCACCCACTCCCTTCAGGGTGCCCCAAGTGAAACAGCCTGGCATGGGGCCTGGTGGCATGATTATAGTGAGTGTCGTGTTATGCTCCCTTCCAGAGAGAAGGAAGAGATTATCTGTCGCCAGCCAGAGGTGGATTATGGGCGTGACTGCTGAGTCACCAGAGACAGGGGGTATGGGCGAAGGATCTCCATTCCCTGTCCTGTTGAACTCAGAGTTCTTAGTCACAAAGTCCCACATACCTGGGTTTTTCCAGAGATTCGCTCATGGATGAGGCTTGTCCCGAGCATGTGGAGTGTGGCCATGAGCAAGGTGGTGGCTGGGTTCTGGAAGTTTTCAGCTGCTGGGGCTGGGTCCCTTGGGGAAGGCTCTGGAATTTTTAAAAAGAATTGTGTGTGTGGGAGGGGGGGGATTCAGGGAGGGTTTTTTTGTTGTTTTTGGAGGGACCTTCCCAGCAGTGCTCAGGAGCTTGGGGAACAGGGAGTACTCACAGTGATAACAGGCCTGGCAGTGGGGTCCTAACAATTGGTACTGGTGCCATCAGGCCACCCTGTGGTGCTTGGACGGTGGGAAGATGGAAAGTGTCAGAATCAAACTTGGAGCCTCCATACACAGCGTGTGCTCTAGCCCTGAGTCACCTCAGCCCTATAAAATGTCTTTAATGCTAAGGAAGAGGACTGGGCAGGGATTATCATTTTTTGGTGTTTTTGACAACACACCTAGATTTTCATACTGATTGCATTTCTAGAATGCATGTTAAACGTCTACTTCTTTACTGTTTTACTCTCAAACTTTTGGGAAGTGGCCACACCCAGTGGTGCTCAGGGTTTACTCCTGGCTGTGCACACAGGAATTATTCCTGGTGGGCACCAGTATGAGATGCCAGGGAACAAACCCTTGCATGGCATGCAAGGCAAATGCCCTGTGCGTTGTACTATCCCTCTGGCCCTAATATAAAACTTTTCAGATAGTCTCTTGATTATGGCCTTTCTCTCTTCAGGACCGCCTGGGGCTAAAGAAAATGGAGCAAGCAGGACAGCTCGTGTTTCTGGCTGTGGAAGGGGATCATCTACAACTGCCTAAAGACTGGTTTTATCAACACATTATACCTTTCCTTGAGTGATACCCTGGTGCTTGGCTCCAGAGCTCAGGGAGCCCCAAGCGCATCCAAACCAGTGAGACAGTTCCCTTCATACCTCAGCTCCGATCCAGTTTGCAATTAATTTTCTCTGGAGTCATCCACTAACCTGCCCTGCTTGGAAAGATCTGAGATACTTATCTTATCCTTTACCTCATCCTATCAGCAGATGGTGTTGAATTCAAGTTTAATGAGTTGAAACCTATGGAGATTATCTTACAGCCCTTGGATGTAGTGAAGTTGTCTAGGAAATAGTCTGCTCCAAGTCAGTGTCAGAACTATGCCCGGGCTCAGAAGTCTGAACAAAACTCAAGTAATGAGAGGCTCAGTGCAAATACAACCACGCTTCAAACCAAGGGAAAGCGCACACAGGCCTGAGTTATGTACATTGATGGGCTTTTGCTGGGTGAGATTTCCAGTGCTTGGATATTTTTGCAGTTTCTGGAGGCTGCCCTCCTGAATTTACTGCTTTCTGGAGTCTTGCTTGCCTTGGTAGTACTTAGTCTCTTCACAGAGCACTGAATTAGTTGTTCACCAAGGAGGAAGTAGCACCTAGTTGGATTGCTTAATGAAGGGGAAGTAGATGCTTGCTTAACTAGGGGTGAAGAATCATGCACAAGTAGAAATGAAAAGGTCATTGTTTCTTTTCCTTCCATCCTTGATTAATCCAGCTTATCTTACTATGACTAATGGATTAGATCAGAGGTTCCCAAACTTATCAGAAAACTGCTCAGTGCTCCCCTGGAAATCTGCCTTTTCAATGGAACAAACAGAAAGTGCCCCCAGGTTGCATTCAAAGCTACTAATGCCTCTGTCAGTTGTTCCAGTGGCCCCTGGGGAGGCATTGTCACCCACTTTGGGGAAAAACTAATCTAGATTCCTGAGTGTCTATTGTTGATGAGAGAAGAAACTGAGGGGGGATGTGAAGATATCTGATTTTCTAATTCTCATCCCCTCAAATCATATTTTCTGGTGTAAGGCAAATTTTGATATGTTCTGTGAGAGGAAAAAATGCTTATTTAAAAAACCTGGGAGATGTCTGCAAGTCATCTTCTCCCTTTGACAATCCCCCATGTTGTAACCCCCAAGGTCAGAGGACTGAGTTTCTGTCACAGTAGATAAAACCCAACTGAACATTTCCTACACTATCTGCACGTGCATATCACACTCCCACACCATGCAAGCATTTCTGTCAACACTAATGGGAGGCTGTTCTGCACAATGCCAGTCTGGGACAATGATTAGCTCTGCTTTGCTGTGTTTTCCCTTCATTTTTCTTTCACCCCTCTCAAGTCATATTTCCAACTAAAAGATTATGGACAAAAAGTAAGAGGAAGTCAAAATGAGGTCTACAATAAAGTATAGTTTCGTACCACTGTTTTCTTCCCCCACCTCCATGTTTTTACATCTTTGTATAGCAAATAAAGGTAAATACAAAGCATGTTTGGTATTAATTTTATTCTATTTTCTGTATAATTTTAAGTACATAAAGGTTTATTTCCACAGGCCTCAGTAAATGGGTAGAAGTCACAGGACAATCTCTCTTCCCACCAAAAGATGTTGCATATTTGGTTAAGTTATGTGTCCTAGAGGGAGAAACTGAAATTTACATTAGCAGTGCTGTGCAAGATTCTTACATAGGGGCTAAAACCAGCCCGTGGTGGGGGTTTTAGTTCTCTCTTCAAATGCCCAGACTGAAGCCAAAAGCTGTTGAACATGACAGGGCAAAGGAGGTGTGAAGAAGGTCGACCTAGCCATGGAGAAGTGCTAGACTGCTTGAAATGGTGCTTTATTCCCTTTAAAAAATGTTTTGTGGTTTTCGTCCCTCACTCCCCTCAGGTCACCTCTGTAGGAAGGTGCTAGGCAGAGAGGCCGAGAGAGAAAGTGTCTAAGGTTCTTAACTGGCCTGGGTACAGGGCACTGCCCCAGTAGCTGGTACAGGAGAATCTATATCTCAGGTTCAGGCGGATCCGGGATGGAATGCAGAATAAAGGAATGCTTCTAGGAAATCGTTTTGCTTGGAATGATAGATGGCCAAGCTTCAGCCTTTGGTCCAGTGCAACCTTTGCCTCAACTATCGACAATAGAAAATTAGTTTGGTTAAAAGAACTAGAATCGCCAGCCAGAATCACACCAGCCTCTGTTACCTTTATGCTCACTGTTAGGAAAAGATTAACTTGGGTGAACAGTCTGCTCTGTTAACTCCTGGGGGGACTCCTTCATTCTTCCCAAAGGACTGGTGCTTGAATAACACCCCAAAGGCTGAATGCTGAAACGCACCGGTCCTGGTCTGCAGTTCCTTAAGAATGGACTGGAGGTGTGGTTGAGCGGATATGGAAAAGCTGCCCTTCCTGCAGAAGATAAACTGCCTGCTATCCCAGCCCAAATCTCAGCCCGAGGTATATTTCAGTGAAGGCAGGTAGCTGTGCTTCTCCGAGCAGAGAAGCAGCTTAAGAGCAGAAAGGTAGAGGAAATCTAGAAAAGAACCGTCATGATACATATTTATCCCATGGTGTGGAGGGAGAGGGCAGAGAACCCCATGGCACTTCGCTTATCCAGCAATTTCTGTCACTGTGGTGACCAACTTCTGCCCGTTCCACAGGGTTTTGAACTGCTCAGGGACTGGGAACTCATTCTGCAAAGACAAAAACAGAAGGTTTCGATCTGAACTAACAGATAGGCTGGAGCGAAATCTTCCCACTTTTCCTCCAATGCTTGCTTCCACTAACAGAGCAGAAAGGATGGCTGACGAGAACTATGCTGAGCTAGCCTGGCTACAGAAAGGGCAAGACCGTCTCTTACACCACCACAGACATCGTGAAGGACTCATGCAGTGGAGAGCGGGAGCACAGGCTCCAAAGCACACAGAAATCTGTCTGCTGTCATTTGTTAGTTAGTGATGCTTCTCTGACTATGGGTTCAGTGACACCTGCCTGACAATACACTGCAACATTCCCGTTCGTCTGTACTACCCTGACCCTCCTCTTCAACCTGAGAAAGGCAGAAACAACCCCTTGGGGTTCCGTTTTGAGGGACTACCTCCTGCTCTTGTGTGTTTGGGGAGTGCGACCGCCGGGTCTGACCCACTCAGTCCAGACTGTTTGTCAACTGGCTGTCCCCTCCGTTCTGAGATCACACCACTAAATGGCACAAGATACTTACAAAGTCGCCGCCTTCTGTGGGAATGAGAACATTCATCTCAGAAGATTTGGCACTGACTATTTCACAGTCCAGGGAATTCTTGCTCAGGTAAACATGGCAGCCATCTGTTTTGTTGATAGAAATGGTTGGCACTTTACCCATTACCTGCGGGAAAAAACCAACGACACTGAAAAGAGCAAGAGCTCCCAGCAGCTGGGGAGAAGAACATTAAGTTGCGGGAAGAGCTCTCGTTGCTTCCTGTGATTCACTAACTACTTGAAAAGCTCACAGGTGCACAGCAAGACACTGGATCCGAGGAGCGGGCTGGGATGGGTGCTGGCGAGAGCTCCTTCGAGAAGCCAGTTCCTCGCCTGCCACATCTAATGCAGCTCCGCTTACGGAATCAGATTCCCACCACGGCAACATCTGTGAGTCGGCTGTGTCTCAGTTAGTTCCTCGGGGACCCAAAAGCGGCAGCCAAGAGCTCAAGTTACCTGAACTTTGACATCCCGACTATTGATTATCTCCACAATGCCCACCACGTCATCAAATACCAGACCAAGTTTCTTACAGTTATCTGGAAGAGAAGAGAAAGGGAGCAGGTCAACGGGGGAACTTCAAAGGGAAGCAACAGATTCCAGCCGGTGGGGAGAGGGCGAGGGGGCGAGTCACAGCCCTCCGGGCTCCGGAACAGATGTCTGCAATTGCAACAAGAACTCACCCACTGTAATGGAGTTAATTTTGCCCTTGATTTGCAATGTGGAGTTGACACACTTGTAGATGTATGACACCTGCTTCAGCTCTGTGTCTTCAATCACCAGGTTGGAAACATTTTCCTGATTTTCCTATTAAAGAGAGGTCTTTTCAGAAATCTCATGACTAAGCAACTATCCCCCACCCCAAAACAAAAATTAACGAACCCCCCCCACCCCAAAAGAGGCTATCGCCTCTTAAATTCATGTGATCCCTGTAATCTATGCCTGAACCTTGCACTCCTTTGGCAGTGCTCTGGTCAAGCCTTCTAGTCCTTCCTCCCCTTCTTCCTCCAGCCATGGCGTTTTAACTCACCACTCTCCACTTCTTGCCCTCCAGTTCCAGTAGAGGGGGTTCCTTTGTGGCTGGTTTGGGGGACGAGCTGACTCCTGGTTTAGGTGCAGAGAACGGTTTGGGGCCACTTCGCACTGGGCCACTCTGAGCCTTTAGAGCCGGGTTCTTGTGAGTCTTCATGTCATCAGATACGTGTTTCAGGGCTGTAAGAGTAACAGCTACCTAGTTCCTGTCCTTCCCAGAAGGACTTTTCGAAGGGGCAACAACCAACTTACAGTCAGAACTTAAAGTGACCCTTAACAAAATGAAGTCCAAAGTCAGACAGAAACGTTCTCTCACAAGCAGTTTTGAAGAAGTACTCGATGATTTTCTTTCTCCGGGAAAGTTAAATTATATGGTTCAAGTAAAAAACAAAACAAAACAAAACAACTTGCAATATAGTGGGGTAGGAGTGGGCGGGAGAGGAAGAGCAGGTATGCGGATGAGTAGAAAAATATCCTAAAATAACATATACCAAATATGTATCTTCAAAAATAGGAATTTTTTGGTTTTGGGGCAACACCTGGCCGTAGTTAGGGGCTATTCCTGGCTGTGTGCAAGAGTAGCCCCTGTTGGTGCACTTTTTTAAAGCAAAAAAAAAGAAGAAAAAGAATGTGGTAGTAAAGAAATCGGATAAAGAAAAATACCTCATTCATAGCTAATCTACCACACTCATTCAGTAACATTCATTCATTCACACTCATTCTGGAAGTCTCCTGTTTTTTCTATCAGTACTTTTTGGGGTCTTTTTTTTGTTTGTTTGTTTGTTTTGTCACATTTCACACCCAGCAATTCCTAAGGGTTACTTTCTGGCCCTGCACTTAGGGATTACTGATGTTGCTCAATAGGCCATATGGGATGCTGAGGATCGAACCCGGGTCAGCCAAGGCAAATGCCCTATCCACTGTACTATCACTCCGGACCCTATCCATCGTTTTTTATTTAGTCATAACCATGTACACTGTGAGCAATTTTTTTTGGTTTTGTTTTTGGGCCACATCTGGGGATGCTCAGGGTAACTCCTGGCTCTGCACTCAGGACTCACTCCTGGTGGTATTCAGGAGGCCATATGGGATGCCAGGGATCAAACCTGGGTCAGCTGTGTGCAGGGCAGGCACCCTACTCGCTGTACCTCCAGGCCCTGTGAACAAATTTTAACAAAATATTTTTTATGTTAACACACTTCCAAAAATGTATGTTTTTGTTGTTGTTAGGAAAAAGATTTCCTGTCTCCCTCAGCAGCCGCTCCTGAACATAGACCAATCTAGAGAGCGAAAAATTAGTGCCCTCCTTAAATACAAGGCTTTTTCCTTAAATAATACGTGGTTCAAATGAGAGGAAAAAAATCTAATGGCCGCACAATATGCCATTAAGAGGGCTTGTCCTTGAAGCCTGTGTCCCCCCTGAAACATGTATCTCACTTGCTTATCTAGATGTTTCTTTGCTTGCCTATTTCTACTCGGGAGAAGCCTGTGTTCTCTCCAGCTCACACTTCTCCTTCTCTCACATCTCTCTAAATAAGTCACAATAAAAAAAGGAGGGGGAGGGAGTTGTTAGCTGGAGAACTAGTACAGAGGGCAGGGTGTTGGCCTTGCATGCAGCCAACCCAGGTTCAGTCCCCAGCACCCTATGTGGTCTGAGCCCTGAGCACCACTGAATGTGGCCTAAACACGGACAGGAAGTGGGGAAGGGGGGGGGATGCGGCGATTTCCATCAAGAGAATATGCCATAGTTAATTTTAATTATCATCTCTTCTACTGCTGGATATTTAGGCTGTCATACCTTTTTAATTACTATTAAAAAAAAACACCGCAAAATGTTTCCTTTATTTTAAATATTTTTATAGACTTCTAGGAGAAAGCCTAACAATGTAAACTTCTATTTGTATATTAGGGTATCTACTTTCTCTAATAAAATGACTTTCCTACCACGAAATTTCACTTAACGAATACACTCCCTTTGAAGCAGTTAACCCCCAACGTGATTACTTCCCAAAGAGACCAGGTGCTAACACAAGAAAAGCTCTTGGTAAAAGTACCAGCCCCATGTCTCTCACAGCAAGATACCCTGCGCCCTCTTCTAGGTGCCCCAACTGTAATCACCCATTTTCAGTTCCAATTAAGCTAGCTCTGCCATTCCTCTGGGCATGGCAAGGGATATGATGCCTCCAACTGAAATGCCTCATATATATATATATATATATATATATATATATATATATATATGAGCATCTGGTTTACAAACTGTTGGGTCTCTAGTTGGAACGATCTGACCCAAAAAGCTTATTGTTCCGACCCTTCCTGCCCAAGTATTCACTTACCATGTGTGATGCTCTCCCCCTGGTTAATCTGCGCAAACAGTGCTGAGCGGGAGGCAGAATCATCTGAGCCTGAACTGGTGGGGGCTGGAGGAGGAGGTGGGCCTGGTGGAGGGGGAGGAGGCCCTGAGCCAGCAGAGGGTCCCGATGGCAAGCCACTCAGTTCTTTTGCGACAGGCCCCTGCAATAATAAATGCAGGTAACAGAGTCATCAGCAGTCACCCTCTTGTCCCCTCTGTGCCGTTCACATGAGGACCCCATGTATTCAGGGGACACACTGCCCCACCTGGCAATGATAGATGCTCCCTTCCCACACCCAAGCTGGCTTAATTCTTCCGTAATTCTTTTCTCAAGGAGTCAACTAAGCTTATTTTTCACCCGTCACATTTTTCCTTTGGTCTAATTCCAGCTCTAAAGAAAAACATCCTAAAAATTTACACAGTTTGTCAAAAGTACCTCAGACTCAAGAGGCCCAAGGCTGATTTCATCATTTGCTTATTTTCCCCTTGGTAGTCATCCCCTCACCCCTACTTCAGTGAAATACCTTACCACTGAAGCTTGACACGGTAATCTCCGTTCAATCTCGTTAAACCTATTATCTTGGTTTTTTTCCCCCACAAATTCTTTCCTATGCAGACATGAACACTTCCATAATCTCTGTCTAAGCACTAACCTATGAACTGAATCTCTTCTAAGGATTAATCTGATCATTATCACCGTCCCACTCAAATACCTAGAATAGTTTCTTAATACCTATTATGAAGTCTAAAAGTATCAGCCTACCTTCCTTTCCAGACTTTCTCCTAAAAATCTATCACTCCTTACTGAAGTTATCTCTAGTTGACACTATGTTTGCTAGTATCCGCATTTGTCCAATGTCCTATACCTGCAGAAGTCTGAGGTCAGAATTGTCCTCTTCAAGTATAATCTCATCCGGTATGAATCACTCTTCCTTATACTGCACAGTCTACGGTGATGATGTCTGTGTGTGTGTCTCGGACAAAGCGGCATGTGCTACATCCCTGGTGTAGTATGTATCTTAGCAATTACCTTGGTGCTTTTTCTGTTTTTGTTTTGGGGCTGGGGGGGGGGGGGGTACATCACCTGGCAACACTGAGGGCTTACTCCTAGCTCTAAGCTTAGGGATCACTTCTGGTGGGGCTCAGGGGACCATATGTGGTTCTGGGGATTAAACCCTGGTCCACTGTGTGCAAGGCAAGTGCCTCCCCCGCCCCGAACTATCTCTCTGCCCTCCCCTACTTTGTGGTTTTTACTGGGATTTTATATCTATATTTTCAGGCTTCTTTAGGGCTGGGATAATGCTAACTCATTCATCTCTTGCCTTTTGAATACTAGTCATTGTCCCCTGTCCACATTTGCTGTAACTGAACACTGCTTCTTTTTTTACTTGATTTTTTTTTGGGGGGGGGGGCGGGAGGAGGGGGAGAAGGTGGGGAGACAACCTTTGAAGCAGTGCTCAAAGGAGGTCTGGGGGCTACTGCTGACATTACTCTGCCAACCCGGCAGACAGTTCAGTACCAGGGCCTGGTGTGGTAGCGCTGTTCTGGCCCAGCGGAGCTTGCGGACCTCAGGGCTGTACCTGGCAGCACTTGTGAAACCTTCTTTTAATACTTGTCTTTTCCTACCTTACATGGGGAGAAATAAACTAGCACTGTTCTTAGAGTTTGGTAGTGCCAAAATCCATGAAAGCAGATGCAAAGTGGGAGGACTTACTAACCGTTTTGCTCCAGACCAGTCCGGTGGTGTGGAACTCCTTAATGTAAGCCTGCAGCTCTGTCCATATACTCAAGTAAGCTTTGACCCACTCCACATGCTTCTTATCCCTACGAGAATGAAAGAAGACCTCAACACCGGCACAGAACACATCAGATAACAGTAACCCAGAGCTCACCTTCTGGTGAGTCAAGCCTGGGGCATTTCCTCAGCTTTACTCTCTGGTGGCTTTTCTTCTTTTTTCAAAACCTATTCTATTACCTTGATTAGACCAAAGTGCTTTAGGATAAGGACTCCAGATTACCTGTCTATCTCAGATTAAGTGACAAAACCATTGGTGGTGGGGGCAGAGCAGAGGCTGGGTAGGCGCATCAGGCTGGGTAAGCGCATCACACCCAGAGGTGCTCAGGACTTACTCCTGGCTCTGTGTTAGGGATCTTGGAGCGTTCAGGGCACCGTATGGGATGCCGGGGATTGAACCCAGGTCGGCTACGTGCCAGACAAGTACCTTATCCACTGTACTCTCACTTCAGCCCCCACAAAACCATTTGTTCCAAGCAGACCTTTAACAGAACCGAATATACAAAACTGATGAAGGCAAACATTCTGTACCCGAAGGCCTGCGAAGGAGAACTCTACAGCTTCGCCACGACACTCGAGGAGCCTGTGCCCTGTTCTTCAGCCTGTGGTCCTGGTAGTCTGCCAAAAATTCCCTTCCACTCATGCAGCAGATGTTGCATTAGCTAAAAACTTTCATTTTATAATACTGGATTTAATAAAATGTTATCTACACTGAGTTTTGTTTCTGTCTTGGCTGTCAACCAGTCTGCCAAATATTTCTCCTATTTTCCCTGATCCGCAGGACCAAACACACTGAAGAGGACTGTGCTCGGGCTCCACAAAACTCAAATGCCTTCCAGTACAGAGCCTTATGCCACCAAGAAACAATACAAATTAAAATACAATCATCATTAAAGGAATTAGCATTATGCTTCAGGTCTCCTCTCTTCTAATTAGCCAGAATACTCAGTGATTATTTAACATGAGACCCAATTTCCTCAACTATAGATGGTAGAGTATAATGAAAACATGCTTAGTATATAATTATACATTAAAGCAACATGTTATATACAATTATAACATTAATTCCAGGCTGCTGCAAGGATTAAGGAAGTGTCTGTGCTCTGGGACATAGCTGACACATACAACGGCATGTTGCCTTCACCAAGTTGTAACTCAACAGATGTTGCTGAATGATGATTCATGGAGCAATGGGAGGGTCTGGGGTGCTAAGCAGACCCCCAACAGAGAAGTTGGACTGGTGGGAATATATGATTGGACATACAATGATCCTCCTTGATTTAACACCGGCACCGGTTGGTCAACCTTCCTCTCACTTTCCCTGACTACAGGATTAAGGGTAAAAACGGGAAATCAAACCATTTCACCTCCAACAAAACCTCCTATACATGGAAGGGTAAGCACCAGAAGATTAATATTCGCCTTCTATAAACTCTTGAGTAAAAAAGCAGAAGTGGAAGCAGAAATACTTCCCGTTTGTATATGCAGCATCTATGTGTCAATATCTACTGAATTTCCCAGAAAGCAGCTCTCAGAGAGATTGGAGAACTAAGGAAGAAGCCACAAGCAGCCTAATGCCAAAATGCTACTTTAGCAAGTAACCGGCTAAGTTTGTCCTTAACCTCTTGAAACGGGACTTACACATCTTTGTACTCCTTGAGGACTCGGTTCGTGTAGAACATGGCCGCGTCATTCATTTCCTTCACGTAGGGACCAGGCTTGGGAGCCTACAGAAAGAGCAGTCAGTGACTCAGAGCACTTGGTTCTATCTCCTTACTTCCTGCCATCCCTTCCCCCCTCGGGAAGCTGTGCTGCTCACCATAGCCACCCAACCCAAGGCCTGGATACTTTCGCTGACAGCTGACAGGTGGTTGAACAACTTGCTGCCTCGGTTCTTCTCCCGGAAGGTTAACACTTCTTGGATCTGCTCTGAGATGGGTGCCAACAAATCAGAAAACTTATTCTACAAGAAGACACAGGGCAAAGAATCAGGTTAGAATCTTTCTAAAAAAGTTTGACACGTAGGTCGACTCTGATCCTGAAGGTCACAGTTCTTATGAATGACAGTGAGCCCCCAAACAAACCATGCAGTTAATCCTGCACACATTCATATCATTGAAACACAGCTCGCTATCCTCATAGAGTTTCAACATCCCAGGCTGGATTTGTGATTCTTCATGATCAGGATTCCTTTCTCTCTCTACCTCATAAAATTCCACCATTTCAGTCACTGTCATAAAATCAGAGAACTACTTTACTTCTAGGCCTTTGTTCTAATGGTCTCTCCTTCCCCCCCGCTATTCAAATACTCCTTATGCTGTGTGAGAAACAGCCCTCCACTGGCCGCCTACAACATTTACTGTGAGTATGACCAATTTAGGAATTCTATCACACACCAGAACAGACTATCAGCGAATCCATATTGAGTATGTTTTCTTTCTCATTAACTCCTCAAAGCCAAGGCCTTTGTCCTAGACCTCTTTCATAATCCTTTAGCACCCAACACATTGTTAGTCCCCGAGCAGCTGCTTAGAAAAATGGGTCAAATCAAATGCAATTAGGAGACTTGGTATTTGAGCAGGCAGCTCAACAAAACGGATGAATCTAGTTTCAATGCTTTTATTCTTGCCTCAAAGCTCAGTTTCCTGAATATCTCAATCCTCAGATCTTAGCATAAAATATTCTAAAGTAGTAGTCAGCAAATCTTTATAGGGCCAGACAGTAAATACTTCAGGTTTTGCAGGCCACATGGTCTCTGTTGCAATTTCTCATCTCTCCTTTTAGGGTAGAGTAACAATACCTAGAAGAGTAAGAATGACTGTTTCCCCCCATCCCACCCCTATTTCATTTACAATACAGATGGCGGGCTAGATTTGGTCTACAGGTCATTAATCTATCAACATGTGGTCTATAACAAGGAAAATATAATGGTGTTTCAGCTGTCTGACTTGTTGGGAAAGCACGAGTCTGGAAAATGGTTCATACAAAATTATTTCACCATTCCAAACAAACTTATAAGTATACTAATGTATCTGATATCATGTTATACTATTTTTACATTATTTAAACATGTCACAGTTGTCTAATTGTTTTCATACAGCACTGAGAACTTGTTTCGCATCCCTTTGTCTAAGAAAATCAAATGCAAATAGAAGATATGAGGCTGAAATTTTTGGTTCTGAGAAGAAGCCAAAGAACAAGTTCATTTCATTAATATAACGTATTAGGCAGGAGTTATGTTAAAGATTCTTACCCAGACCAGTGCAGGATGAGAGTAAAAGCAATCCTTCAGTTCTAGGATTCTCACAGCAGCATTATGAAACCCACTGACAATGATACAAAGGAACCACTATCTATGACCAAACGGACTTTAGGGGAAATATGATAAGCTTGGGCTTGGCAAGATGCTTAAAAAATAAATAAACAAAGTGGGTCAGAGAATAGTTCAGAGGGTTAAGGCACCTGCCGTGCATGGAGCCAACCCTAGTTCAAACCCAACAGCCCCTGAATACTGCTAGAGTATGGGTTCCATCCCCTCCCCGCAAAAAATGTCTATATGTCTATGGAGAGAAATAGCAAAGTTCCTGACATAATAATAATTGGTAATTCTTTAAAAATGACAGCTGGGCGATAATACAGTGGGTAGGTGCTAGCCTTGCATGCAGCCTACACACTCAATCCCCAGCATCCCATATGGTCCCCTGAGCCTGGTAGGAGTGATGCCTGAGTGTAGAGCCAGGAATAAGCCCTGCACCTTTGGTTATGGCAGCAAAAAGGCTAGCAGAGAGGGCTGGGGAGACAGCTCAAAGCAATAGAGCACAGGTCTTATAAGTGTATGTAAGCCCCAAGTTAAACTGCCAGCACCACATGATCCCTTGAGTACTTCTGGGTATATCCCTGGATATACCCTAGCACTGTGAGGCCTGAGCAGCACTGAACGGCTGGGTCTAACCACTGAACCATCAGGCCCACGGCAACATCTCAGAGAATGACTGCCAGGCACCTGAGCACTGTGGGGGAGACACCCAGCTCCCCACACCAAAAAGAAAAAAAAAGCCAGCAGAACCTAAGATATATATAATATATATGTATTTTTTTATTATTTTTTTCCCCACATTACCACGGTGACACTTTGAGTTTGACCCCACTTTTGTGACTTGGGTGTGTCTGGGTCTGAGCCCAGTGGGTCTATTTAAGCTGTAACAGCTGAGCATAGATCCTCAATTTGTCCTGAATACCAAACCAAAACTAAATCAAGTAATAGCGAGGGAACTTACACCTGCTGGCTTCTGGCACTGAGAGGCTGTAACCAAGAGAGCGCGCTCCAACTTCAGACCCGTGTGGACCATCTCCGCCTACGGGAAGGAAGAATCTGCTATCAGTGACATATTACAAGGGGAGAGATCCTGATAAGAAGAACCTGAACCCCCTACTCGCATGTACACTGGGAACAACCCCAGGCACTTCATATATTGTTTTCCCCAAGGATCCTAGATCGAAGGGACTGATAACAAGGTCACAAATACCACTGCTCCAGTTGGAACTGAAATCAAGGATTGCTATCCAGAAACAGAAACAATGAAAATCAGGGCTAGTTTGAGACAAGTCAACTTAGCACTTACCCATGCACTGTGACCTGAACTTCACTGGAAAATCCCTCCTATCATTACTGGGGGTAGAAAGGTGGGGTGGGGGTGGGTGGGTGTGTTAACAAATCATTTCTCAAAAACTAGAGGTAGGAATAAAAGTAAAGGCCTAATTTGGTCTAGCGCTTTCAAGATATTAAATTCTTTTGGTTATAGCTTTTTCTCAAATGTTAGATCACAATCCATCCACAGACAAATCGATTTAGTGAGATATAACTTCATTAAGTGAAATAAAATAGAAAAAAAAATAAGCTAGGATGTAGCTTGGTGGTCAAGGGTATACTTGCATATGTGAGCCCTGAGTTCGATCACTGGAACATAAGCACACACACACACACACACACACACACATTCTCACATAGAATAAGAGTACAAGAGTTGAACAATCAGTGGTTAGGCCCTTGCCAGTGGCTCACCCTGGTTCAAAACTCAGGCACCACATACAGAACGCATGAGCACTGCCAGGAGCAATCCCTGAGCACAGACCAGGAGTAAGCCCTGAGCACTGCCAGGTGTGGTCCAAAAACCCTTCTCTGGATGGACACACACACACACACACACACACACACACACACACACACACACATAAATTAAAAAAAAAAACTGATTTATTTCCTGGGGTCTTTGTTTTTGTTTTGGGGTCATAGCCAGCAGTGCTCAGGGGACCATACACAGTGTCAGGGATGGAACTAGGGACTCCATAAAAGCATGAGCTCCACCCATTCAACTATCCATCTCTCCGGCAATATATTTTAAAACAAAAGAATGGTTCAAGTTTTAGAATCTTCAAAAGTTACAGGCTATTGGACAAGAGATATAGTACAAAATTAAAGGACCTTGTCTTGCATGTGGCCAACCACCGTTTGATTCCCAGCACCTCCAAGAATAATCCCCGAGCAGTGTCAGGCATGCTTCAACAAAAAAAAAGCTATATAAAGTGAATGTGCAAATCCCCACACCCTTAGCCAAGTCCCAGTGCCACTCTACCGCTAATATCATGACCAAGAGATGGTACATAACACCAGGGGTAATCCCTAACTGCAAAGCTAGGAGTAACCCCAGAGCACTGCTGGTGTGCCCCGCCCCCCCACCTCAAACCCCCTCCCCCTAAAAAAGAAAGAGATGGTATACATAAGAGGCTCAAAATAGATCTCCCAAAGTCCAAGCAACCAGTCTTGCTGAAGGATCAAGATGATTCTACACAAGCTTTCTGCTGACAATGACCAGTCAATTGACTACAAGGAAGACTGCGTCCTAAAGAGAGACCAAATATGTATAGACGGTGCTGCTGACAATGGAGGTGGCAGCACATAAAGGGACGTGGGTGAAGAGGCATCTGTCAGTACCTACTTCATATTCCTGTGAGCTAAGTGAGAAAATAGCCCATATTAGCATAAGTAATAACTATCGAGCGAGCCTAGTTTCATAAATGCTAAGTCATGATAATGAGTCCTTTGAAAAGCCACTCTTCGCTTGGTTATATAACACGCTGGGATCAGTCTAGCAGAATGCTCTAACTACAGAAATCAACTCGGCCAAACTAAGAGAAACCCATGGAGAATGCGGTAAAAGGGGGGGCGGGGAGGTGGGGGGGAAAGTCTGTGTCTGAAAAATCTACGAACAATTCCAGTGTCTGGTCTACACTCCAGTGAAAGTTGAAGAGGAAAAACCCAAAGTCTCTCCGGAGATCAAATCTCAGGTTTAATCTCAAAACCTCTCAAGGGATCCTAAAACCAAGAATTAAGAATCAGGATTTCAAGAAAGCCACCAGTCCTGAGAAGACAGCTAAAAACGGCCAAGTGGGGGCTGGAGAGCTTGCACAGTCAACCCAGGTTCAACCCCTGAAGCTGCATAAGGTCCTCTGAGTCCCACCAGGAGTGATTCTTCAGCACAGAGCCAGGAATCAGGCCCGGGCACTGCTGGGTATGGTTCCCCTCCCTCTAAAAAAGGGAAAGACATTCTTACATGTTTCTGTACATCTCCCCCAATTTCTTTACTGATCTTCAGGTATTCTGCCACGGGACCAGCAAGCAGTGAGTCAAAGGCCTGTACAAATGGAGCTGCCCCTGGGAAGATAAATATACCACAAAGAATTGGTCATGCATCAGAAAAACATTTCTTTCAAATACACTTCTGTCTGAATGCGGAGAGGCAAGCTAAATCAGTAACCAGAATACTGAAAAATGAGCAGGAAACCTGTGTTCTAGCCCCCAAACGACCACCAGCCACTACCTACCAACAAGAGTCCCCTTTCTTCTCTGAGGCTGGTTTTCTGTTTTTGACTTATTAAATGAAAATAAACAAGATGAGTCCCCCAAAGTTTCTTTTCGCTCTACCCGTCTATGATTTAATTGACACATGTGCAAAAATTTGCCAATCATTTGGTGAGGGGAAATTTAAATAGCGCTTGTCATTTGGCTCACACTGGAGACATTCTGCTAAAGAAAGAACAGGAAATATCACACAAACAGGAAGTTCTTGTGTTAAAATAACTTAACCACAGGCCTCTCTGCACAAGTCACTTCCCCCCCCACTCTTCTGCTCAGGCAGTGTAACAGGAGATAAACTTTCTAAATGAAGCATTTGGCTGTTAGCTCCAAAGGGAGAGACTACCCTGGGACAGAAAAACTTCAGGCCACGACACTGTGACTTCACTCAAAGTGTCCTGCATATCGCTTACCTTTTGAAGGACTGTCTCCGTGTCCACAGTGCACATCAGAAGCATGGGATACTGCCTCCAGACGGCCCACCACCTTCTCCAACCTTTCCACTAGATTTTGCATGTCAGCCATATTGCATTCACTGCTGAAACAAATCAAATATGTCATTTGCTTTTTGTTTTTTTTTTAACTACATGTCATTTGTTTTTTACTATTTGTTGTACTACATAGCACCTAATGAGGAAAGAGTATTCCTGAGAGTAAAGAAGATACAATTTCACTGCTCAGGAACAGAACCATTTAATAATAAAAATCACTTGATCACTTGACTTCCCGTTAATCATCGATTTGCTAGAGCGGGCGCCAGTAACGTCTCCATTTGTCCCGGTCACATGCTTGTAGCAATAATCAATAATAAAAATAAATAAATAATAAACAAGATAGTAAATAATAAAAATAAGATCGGAAATAGTCTAAGTGTGTTCACAAAATCCCCAGGACCTCAAAAGAACTTCACAGGAAATTATACTGAAAGTAAACGCTTAAATATTCAAATAAATGCTGAATATTTATTATTGTACCTGCAGTATACTTGTCACAATACTCTACCAAATATTTGCATAAGAACTTAGAATTTACAAATCAAAGCAGCCTAAAACAACTTTTCAGGAAAGGCTACTACACTCCTAAAAGGCAGGAAGCAATTTCAGTAAAGTTAAATTATTTGCCTGTAGTCAGTTTGTTAAAAGGGAAGCCAGTCATCAAATTCAAATCTTCTGACTTTAAAGATTCAGCGTTTGTTCCTGTAGCATCCTGCCTGCTGCCTCCATGAAGAAAATCCAAAACTAATATGAAAAGGGTACTTATCCTGCCTTCAATAATTCTGAGTTTAGTAATAAACAAAGGGTACTTCATACTTGCACTAACAACTACAACACAAAATAGATAAAAAAAAAAAAATTAAGGTGACAGCAGAAAGTTGGAGACAAAATAATCAAGTTTCAGAGAGTGACAGAACCTCTCCTCTGGAAGGGCTAGGTAATGGTGAAGCGGAGAAGGGGGGGACCTGGATATGGAGCAGCAAAGCGCAGACACACCCAGAAGGTCTGTCGGAGATCTTTCAACAAGTGCCGACCTACTTGGACTAGCCTCGGTCAATCTCTAAAAGCAAGCAAGCAAGCTCTGGGAGGAAGGCCCTTCTCTGGCTTGTTTCCGCATCGAGACCACAATCTCGAAGACGGAACGTGTCCAATAAATATTTATGAAATTAATAAAATGTAATTACAGAACGTCCAAACTCTAGGGGAAACAGGGTCTGAAAACTGTTCGTTTTACTCACATAAAATACACGCCGTATATTATTTTTTGTTGTGTTTTAGGGCTCGGGCAGGCCCAGTAACGTCTCCATTGGAGACTTTGTTGTTACTGTGTCTGGCATATCGAATACTCTCGGTAGCTTGCCGGGCTCTCCGAGAGGGGCGGAGGAATCGAACTCGGGTCGGCCATGTTGGCTGCGTGCAAGGCAGACGCCCTACCGCTGTGCTATCGCTCCAGCCACACCAGCGCTTATGCTCAGGGCTTACGTCTGACTGTGCTTAAGAAAGAGATCACTCCTGGCAGGCTCAGGAGACCATATGGGGTGCTGAGGATGGAATCCAGATCAGCTGTGTGCAAGGCAAGTGCCTTACCAGCCACACTCTCTCTCCTGTCCCACATGTCGCGTGTTAATACAAACATTAAATGCTTGAAATCACAAGCGATTTCAAACTCAGTGAAATTTCAAAATCTTGACTTGGAGAGATTCCATCGAGTCTCCACTATATGCGTCTCATATAATTCCTGTTCCATTTGGGGTACTGGAGGGACAGACTCATATAATGGAATCGAGTCTCACCTCCCATGACAATGCCTAAAATGACTGTTGCGATTATAATTCCTCCAAAGAGGGAAACATGCCAGAATATCTCAACTTTATACACCATCGTCTCTGGAGAAGTGATAAGCAGCTCACTGGCAAGAGCAAGACAACACAATCCCTGACCAGTCTTTGTTGTGTACAGGCTTTGATCTCTCTGGCCTGTGACTTGCCAAAGAATGTTATTTAAAAAAGAATCAAAGTGGGCCTGGAGCGATAACAGTGGACAGGGCACTGGGTTTGCATAGAGCCAACCAAGATTTGGTCCCCAGTAACCCATGTGGTTCCCAGAGCCCAGCCAGGAGAGATCCCTGAGCACTGCCCGGTCTGGCCCAAAAATAAGAGGAGGGAAGGAAGAAAGGAAGAGAAGGATGGAAGGAGTAAGAGAGGGAAGGAGGAAGAATGGGAACCAAAAAAACCTTTCCATTCCCTTGCCTTAAGTAACAGAAGCCCCAAATCTCTGCCCTACTAAAAGTGGAGCGGACTAGAAGCAGCCAACATAGCAGCCCTTCTGTTACGCCACCATTATCACAGTGCCCAAGTCGCTTTCCTGTTCCATTTCAGGTACTGTCCAGGGATAGACTCATATAATCCACAACACTCTGTTTAAGTGTCAAGAGAAAAGCAGCAAAGGCAGTACATTCCTAAGCTATCTTCTATTAATAGATATCACCTATTCTGCTGGGAGACATATTCCTTTATATACAACTGATGCTACAGGTAGAAGCCAGTGTTCACATGGAAACCGCACACAAGCACCTCAGAGGACTACCATGGTTGCTAACTTACAAAGTGAATAACACAACTTCATGGAATTTGGGTGCTTATTTTTCCATTTTTAACTTCTAAATTTTCGTTTCAAATAAGCTATAGCATTGCTTGATAAACAAAATGAAAAGGAAAAATATAATTACCAGCTAAAGCCAATCTCACAAATTCTAACAATACAGAAGAACATTATCTAGGGTGGGGTGAAAGCTGAGACGCTGTAAGGAGAATATCTTGAGTTGAAGAGCTCAAAAGACACACCTTGTTTTCAGTCTGTCCTCATACAAACTCACGCTTTAGGTGGTCATGTCTGCACTAAAGCCTGCATCCACCAATATCAAAGTACCAATGAGCCCAAACCATTCTGTGATTCAGATTTTTTTTTTTTTTAACTTTTGTGGCTTTGGTTTTTGGGCGACACCTGACAGTGTTCAAGCTTACTCCTGGCTCTGTGCTCAGGGATCATTCCTGGAGGGCTCAGTGGTCCAGAGGGGGTACCAGGGATCAAACCTGGGTGTGCTGCATGCAAAGTAAGCACCTTATCCTCTCTACTATTTCTCCAGACTTTTTTTTTTTAAACTTGTATCCATTTGGTCTGGGGTCACTCCTGGCAGTGTTTAGGAGTCTCTGTGGAACCAGGAATTGAACCTGGGGCTCCTGCATGCAAAACATGTGCTCTAATCCTTCAAGCTGTCTTCCTGGCCCAATTCAGAATATTAGACTCAGCTTCCATCCGGGCAGCTCTGCCACAATGTCCCAAAGGCATCTCGCACTGAAAGAGCCCATGTAGAACTCATCATCTTTTGCCCCAGACCCTACCTTCACAGTCTCTGTAACCCAGCACTATAAGCAATTACCTGATTGACCATGTTAATAAACTGGAAACTGTGAGGCAAAAAGCACAGTGGTTAAGAGAGAGATCATCAGGGGCCAGTGATGCAGTTCAGTGGCAGACAGCACACTTCCCTCGATGGGGCCCCAGGTTCAAGCCCCAGAGAGAGGTCTTGAGGAAGTCACATAAACGGGAGGTTTCAATAACTACTCACCAGCTGTGTCTGTAAGTTTAACTGAACTTTCTGAACCACAGCTTCCTTATCTACACAATGAGAATACAACAGTACAAAACCCAAAGGGCTACAGAGAGACTAAATGAGGAAATACAGGTTGAAGTACTTGACTCAGTCCTGAAAAAGATTAAGAGTCCCATTAACTTAACTATTTTCTCCACTACTCCTCCAAGTCTACTCGGGCATCAAAATCTACAGGTTCATAGCTCAGGAAAGAAGCCACTTGCCTGCATTCTGATGGATAGAAATAAGGTATTTATAACTCTGCAGAGATTACTTCAATCATCTCCTAATTATACCAATCCATGCACCAAATTGCCGGTGATCCTTCTCAAATTCAATTTAATAAGTCATTTATTTAATACTAGCCCACACTCACAGTGTATTCAGAGTAAAGTCCAAACCATGAACCATGAATCATTATCTGATCTTGCTTTATCTCCTACCACTCCTCCAATTCTATCTCTTGCCACACCTTTCCTCAACCAGAAGACTTGTGCTTAAACACACACACACACACACACACACACACACACACACACACACTCACACTCACTCTAGGTTTTCTCTTCTGTGCTTTCATAATGCTCCCTGTTCCACAGTCGTTTTCCCTTCGCAATCTGTTTCCTGTCGCATAATTCCTACCTCCTGTCTCATAATTCCTGCCACCTGTCAAGATCACTTAACGCTACTGCTAGCTGTGGCCCTGGTACCCGCAACCCACCCCTGCATCTCTAGGCCCAAACACTTTAGGCCTGCATAACTGGGTCATGGCCCTCAGTCCCCTCAGTACTGATTGTGAGTCTCCACTCCCAGCAGCAACCCCCTCAAAAGAAATCAGCAACGGTAGCACTTTCTTTAAGAAGCTTTTCCAGTTTGGTATGATTTTTCCCTTCTCGATCTGTCCCCTTTCCAGAACTCCAACTGCTCATTCAGTCTCAGCTACGATGGTATCCAACAAAGCAATGCCAGTATGTGCTCCCACAATACTGTATACTATTCTCTACCAAACATTTAATGCATTTAAACTGGTTTAAAAAGAAAACTGATTAAAACTGTTCTAGGGACTGGAGAGACAATACAGGGTTAAGGCGCTCACCATGCTTGCAGCCAGCCCTCGTCCTATTCCTGGCACAGCATATGGTCCCCCACGCCTGCTGAGGAGTGAGTCCTCTGTGGAACCAGGAGTATGCCCTAAGCACCACCTGGGTGCAGCCCACCCTTCTTCCGCTTCTCCACCCCCAGTCCAAACACCGACTCACACTGGTTTTAAATCACTTATACCTATGCAATGTTACTTCGATTAAAAGATGTTTTAGGGTGGAGTGAAAGTTCAACTGAGCACATCCAAAGCATGTTTTGCTTGGGGTAGGCCCGGGTTCAATCACTGGC